ATGTCTGACATGAGGGGGGTGGGGTGGTCATAAGGGGATGATGAAGTGGGAGCTGACTTCTTTTTTTCTTTTTTGTTACAAAAAACAGGTCCTTATGGCCCTGGTGGCTCCATATCCATTCTGGGAAGCGTCTGCGACAGCTGTTGATGTCACTCCGCAATGCAGTGCGATGCAAAACCTGTGCTTCATATATCTGTGTCAAATTAAGTGTGTGTGCAATAACGGTGGGAATGACGGAGGCGGGAGAAGGAGCTGAAACCATACGAGCGGACGATGGCTGGGATGCTGTACAAGGACGGCAATCCAATCCCTGCAACATCAAATGCTGTACAAGGACAGCAATCCAAGCCCTGCAACATCAAAATGAGTAATCATCATTGTGAAAGGAATTTGCAACGTCATACAGGCAGCGCTGCGCTATGCGATGCCAAGGCAGGAATCACCACGACGGGAGAAGCAAGCAAACGACATGGAATTCATCCAAAACAAGAGAAGGAGAGGAGGGTGGGCAGGGTGCGGGGGGGAGCGGTGGAGAACAATGTACAAGACGTCTGTAGCTAACACTCTTTCTGAGCGTGAGGCAGAGATGCGGAACAGGGAATTGGAGGATAAGAAGGGAGACAGGAAGAAGAGGAAGCAGCAGATGACGGCTGAGCAATAATGAGCGAGGAAGGGAAAGGACCCGCTGCACCTGGATTGATGTGGGACTAGAAAGTGAAACCAATGGTTGATGTGCTGATGAGACTTGCAGCAATGAAGAGAGGATCGGGTGCACAATTTCTGCCATATCAGAAATATTTGAGACACGTGTCATGCTCTTTCAAAGCCACTGTCATCGCCAATGGTTACATTAGAGAGATTGGCCTAACAATTACCTCTTCTCATACTCGAGCGATACATTGCATGTCAGAATGTAACAGTTCTCCATGCGCTTCTTCATGTCAGGATGCCGAGCACCGTGGTCCATTACCAATCCCTCGACCTGTTCAATGCATCAAGACATGAAGCGTAGATGCCACAAAGATCCAAATCAGTCCACAGCCAGAAGGGTGGGGGCATACCCAACAGATCGATTTACTTCAGAAGCTGTGACGGCCCACTGCTGCCAATCACAAGCCCTTCTTCGCATGTTAACACAGGCCACAAGGTTTCTTTTCCCAGTCTGCAGGGGTCAGCCAGACGACGTTTCAGGTTTAGGTTTCTAGAGACAGACACACTTCCTTCCGCTTACCAGCTGATGCAGACAACCAACACGTCTCCCCTACATGCCGAACACAGACTACCCATATCCCTCCAGCGACCTTCTCATAGCAGCTGCGCAAAACGGGGTTTGAGGGTTCTCCATCCGCAAGCTTCCCGTTCGCTCGGACATTACCGACCAAAAGGAGACAGAGGTCCGGCCGCCACTGATGTTCTGGAAAACTGGCTTTCACCTAAACCTCCTGTTCCACTGTGCAATCCGGCAGCTGCCACTGATGTTCTGGAAAATTGGCTTTCACCTAAACCTCCTGTTCCGCTGCCTATGATATCTCGCTTCCCTCCCGTCTTCCGCCAAACACAACGCACCCTGATAACAAATTTATACAAGCAATCTGCGCGGTCCAGTGCAGCCAAAATGAGGATGTGTGTTGTTCAGGGGACGATGATAGTATCTTTGCTCACCACTGTCACCACACACCTCTTTTTGTTTTTCCACTCCTGTCAGACAAGTTCAAAGCCATTACATAAACCACTTCCAAAGTGTGTAGAACATCGACGGATCTTGTCAAATAATAGCTGCGCTGTACACGGATCTTGTCAAATAATAGCTGCGCTGTACACCCCTTTACAATCCGGCCCGGATATCACAAAAGCCAGTTCAGACAATCACAACCCCACTGTGTCATTTCTCATAAGTTTATCTGAAACATAAGTTTAAAGTTTAAACATACGTTTGAAGTTTAAACATAAAGCGTTTTGCAGTAATACTCAAGTGTACAAGGGGGGAGAGACAAAAAATGGTTCTTTCAAATTCATCGTAAACACTCACCAGCCTCGTGTCAGTGTCAATCTTATGCTTCATGTGCATGATCTCCACCATAAACAGATCGATCGGCTCATCCTTCTTAGCAACACAAAGTACCTGAGGATATAGTCAATACATGAACCAAACCCACCCACCCACACACACACACCCCACCTCCACTGACCCCAAACCCAGCCATCACCCCCGGCGACACCAACCACAGAAAGGACGCACGTTACTTCCACTCCATGTCCCGCTTCCAATACAATACAATTCAAGGGATACCTATGGCGAACAAGGGGATTGACGCTAATTAGACAACAGCTCTCAACAACTCCAGCGCCTCTGTAGTCCTGTGTGCCTTCTCCACTGATCGAGTCGGAAAGCAGCAGCATCATCAGCAGCAGCACCACCACCATTCATTCCCCAAACAAACACAAGCCAAGTTCAAATTGACAGCAAGTAACATTTACTCCATTGACATTAACATCATCATAATAATAATAATAAGAAGAAGAAGAAGAAGAAGAAGAAGAACAGTAAGGATATGCTTTCTTTTATTAAAAAATAATAATAATAACAATAACTCGGGAAAGGCCACGTACATTTGCAAGAATGAGACAGCAACGGCTGCACCTGATCTCGCCTGGCAGCAAGGGGATAACCGCAAAAGGCCCGTTCTAAAGCCTACAGCTTCCCCTTACTTCTTATTGGATATCAACCAAACTCGAGGAAAATAGGGACATGCATCAAGGGCGGGCAGCATGATTTTCCGAAAACACTGCTTTCACAAAGGCCCGTTCTAAACAGTTATCCGCTAAAACCCAATTACCCTCTCACGGCACCTACCCAGGCTCAAAACCCAGTGGAAGCACTGATAAGGCACTGCCACAAAACGTAATATTAATTGAACCAACCAGGGTGAGGCTCAAAACCCAGATGGGTTTGACACCAACCAACCGGAAAAAAAAAAAGAACCAGCAATATGAAAGAGGCAAAAAGGGCAGGCAGAAGCCTTCAAAACAAAATTAATAATAATAATCATAATATTTTTTTTAAAAAAGGTAGTTCGAACACAGGGATACCAGATGCCAACCGCAACTGAACAATAGAGGTAGACGAGTGGGGGGAAAAAGAAAAACGTTTCAATTATACCAACAACATCAAAAAAAAAAAAATCTCTGGAATTCTATTCCATCTGCGGCTTCTTATAAGTTTTGACACAGCTCTTTTTTCCGTCCCAATTACAGTCCGGTTAAGTTCATTGCTTAGCTGTGCTTTTTCCTCCTCCTCATTTTTCCCATTCCTAAGCCGCGCTGTGCTTTATAGTCGCTCGACACTTCTACTAATCTCAGAGCTGATGTATGCATTGCCTGCCAAGCACAGTTAAGCAATAAGCTCAACAAACAGACAACCGACTGACAAGTATAGGTACGCAATTGTCCGTCATCACCGTAACACAGTCTCATGGGCGGAGAAGAATGGTCGCCTTCCATGATGAGTGAGTTCACACGGGGCATACTAACCGCATTCACAACGATGTCCGTAAGCTGGTCCGCAAGCTCCTCGTGAACCTGCACCCAGTCCGAGTCAACATTGTTTTCCAACTACGTAAGTGCACACAATTTATTGTCCAAATCAAGGAGATTTGCCACTGAGGTTTTCCATTGTCTATACATCGCATCTTTGACAGCAACAGCTCGCTGCACTCCCTCTCCCTTCTCTGTCCTCACCTCCCAACCCTACTCTCCTCCCATCTCCCCCACTCTTCTCTTGTTCCCCCTTCTCTGCTTCCCTCACGTAATACTCTCTCTCTCTCTCTCTCTCTCTCTCTCTCTCTCTCTCTCTCTCTCTCTCTCTCTCTCTCTCTCNCACACACACACACACACACACACACACAAAACAAACAACCGCACATGCAAACAAGAACTCGTGCACACAGAGGCCAGCATACCCACCCACCCACACACAGGCAGACCCACACTCACAGTAATGCACGAACAGAATGACGCAGGCATTCTTCCTTGCACGATGCAGCAAAAGAAACAATACCAATAAGACAGAAAACAAGTGAGAACGCAAATGAGAATAGACAAGTATCCAGAGTGAAGAGGAGGACACGGAAAGAAGAGAGACGAAAATGAGACAACATGAGGACGTGCCATAACCTTTTTGTACCAGGAAACTTCCTTGTACCTTCGTTCGAAGGGTCGTTCTTGCAACCATCTTCAACATTTCCTTGTCCGGCGTATCTCCGATGGCAACTGGCTGCTTGAATCGTTCCAGGAAATTAACGGTGGCCTTCTTCGCAATCTCAAACCCATCACAGATCAGCCTCGGATGCATGCCTGATACCCCCATCATCGATACAACAACAAACAGACACAATTCAGTCCAGTTTCTCGTCCCCTCATCTCCCTTAAGTCTCCACGTCTCCATCCACACTCGTGCAATCCCCATAACCTCTCTCTCTCTCTCTCTCTCTCTCTCTCTGTGTGTGTGTGTGTGTGTGTGTGCGTCCTCAGGTTCTTGGGGCAGAATGCAGTAGGAGAAACGTTGGCGGGACACAGACAGTCAAGACCCTGCTACAAACATTCGGAGGGCAGAGTAGAGGAGGAGAACAGGATAAGGGAGCAGGATAAGGAGGAGAGACGATAAATGGAGAAAGGCCAGGAGAGGAGAGGAGAGGAGAGGGGGTACACAGGGAGACGGCAAGACAGAACGAGGAGGGTGAGAAAAGAGGAAAAGAGGGAAGAAAAGGAGAGCGAAAGAGGATACCAAAGAGTAAAAAGGGGACAGCTGATTTGCTAGGCAAAGAACATAAATGTACGAGTTGAAGGTGGGTGGGTGCGCTGGGTGGCTGTGCGCTGGGTGGGGTGGGGGAGGATAATGGAAAGACGAACCTTCAACTTAGATGTTAGGTTTCCTAAGTCTCGCTATTCTCTCTCTCTCTCTCTCTCAACGTATGTTTTACCAGTGTTCATATTTGGCCACCTGAAGGAGCACCACCGCTTGATCTGTTATCTTAGCGGGATTACTATTTTTTTCTTTATTTTCTTAGCAGGAATTTTCTCTTTTAGGAACCTATGGCTTTTTAAGATTGTCAATAAATACCAAAGTTTCCAGACGAGACGTTACTCTACAAACTCCACCTTCTCTCTCTCTCTCTCTCTCTCTCTCTCTCTCTCTCTCTCTCTCTCTCTCTCTCTCTCTCTCCAAACTCCACTGATGGGAACAGGAGAAGAGAGGAAAGGAGTGGGGGGCGGAAGAAAGATGAAGACACCCAAGACCTCACAAACTTGCATAACGAAGCAGATAGAAAAGTAACACACGATGAAGAGACGAAGAGAGGAAGGGCCTGGCCGGTCCACTACACGACATTCTAAATGCATCTGGATCAGTTAATGATCCCGTTACATTCGAAAAGTTGGGCAACTCCGAATGCATCTGGATCCGGGTCAGAGCACTGTACAAATACTTTCATAACGTTGTGCAGTGGAGGGAAAAAAGCCCAAACGAGAGGGGCACCCAGACCCCATCTGGCGGCTAAAATATAATAAAAATATAATAAAAATATAACAAAAATGATAGTAAGGGCTCACTCACCCGCTTTTAAGAGAACAAAAAATAGTGGGGGAAAAAAAAGGAAAGGAAAAAGAAAAAAGAAAAAGAGAAAAAAAAACAAAGCGCACCTTCGTTAAGGAACCGTTCCGATTGCTTCATGAGCTCGCCGATGAGAAGCACCGTCGATGTCGTGCCATCACCGCTGATATCATCTTGAGCGACGGCAGTTCGAGCTATCATAACCGCGGTAGGGTTTTGAATTTGCTGGAAAGAAATCAAAAGAAAAGGACCGAAAAAAAGAAAAAAACACATTGCCAAAAATTAGTTGTTGTTGTTTTTTTTTTTCCAAATGGTTTCCCGCCCGCACACTTCGGATACATCCTCCGGTCATTCACTACCAGCCTCATCTCAGTTGTCGCGACCACCGCAATCGTTCCCGTCGAGATCCCATTGTTATCATCATCGTCAGGATCATTGTTTCTGAAGCAAGTTCCCGTGCTTACATGACCAATCAACCAATCAACCAATCAGTCGGTCAATCAACAATCAATCAATCAATCAATCAAACAATCAATCAATCAATCAATCAATCAATTAATAAGGGTCATCCACGACAAGTTTAAACCACCAGTACTTCCTAGAGTCGTGCCCGTCAACGCGGCACGATTTTAGGAAACGTACGGGCTACTACAGGAGCGCCCAAATCCATCTGAGTAGAAACGTTTCTACTCTATTTTTCCCCCCAAATCCATCTGACTAGAAACGTTTCTACTCTATTTTTTCCCGCGACCGATAGCTGGGCCACGTACTGGTGGTTTAACCGGAAGAGCCGCTGCCAGCTGAGAGCCGTAACGAATCTCTCTCTCTCTCTCTCTCTCTCTCTCTCTCTCTCTCTCTCTCTCTCTCTCTCTCTGTGTAGACTGTGTGCATGACTCTCTGTGTGTGTGTGTGTGTGTGTGTGTGTGTGTGTGTGTGTCTTCGGAGGAGAACGTATGCGAGGTGGTTATGATTATAATCTGATAAACACGTCGATCCACTACATTGGCATAATTATTTATTTATAATCTGTTAAACTGTTAATTAGATTAATCAAATATTGAATACAATCCGCTCAATAAATAAATTATTACCAATACATCAGACAAGGATTACAAAAAATGTGGATTATAATCCCATTATCTAATAATCTGTATTTTGTAAAATGTAAATACGTCTTTTCCCCATTCGACGTCGCAATCAATCTCTCTCTCTCTCTAGCCTCTTCCCCCCGATCGAATGGCCTGTCATTGTATTTCAGTCGACGACTTTCAGTCTAGATACAGCTATAACGACCGTCTTCCCCCGAACATAACGCACCCTAAAAATGAATGTATACGAGTTATATTTCCGGCCAGATACAGCCAAAATGAGGGTGCGTTGTGTTCGGGGGAAGACGGTAGTCATCTTCACCCTTAAGCCTTTACTCCTTACAGAAGAACATGCACCCCTCGTAAATGCTTTTAGGGCCGAACAGAGCTAGCGTCTTCCCTCGTACAGAACGCACGGTCATTATAAATGTATTTGTGCAACTTTCAAGTCTAGATACAGTCACCATGGCCGCGCTTTCCCGGTTACGTTTCCTAACGTGCAGTCGCAATTCTTTCTATCTTTCTTTCTCTTTTCTTTTCCTTCTTTCTTTCTCTTTTTTTTTCATTCTTCTTTCTTTCCTTCTTTTTTTCCTTTTCTTTTCTTCTCTTTTTTCTTCTCTTTTCTTTTCTTGTCTTTTTATTCTTTTCTTTTTTTATTCGTTTTTTTATTATTTTTTTCTTTTTCTACTTCCAAAAAGAAACTCATTGTAACGCTCCTTTTATTTTTATTCTGAATTGCAATCTCCGGACCTATTTTGACAAACCAAAAATTGCTTTCCCCCAAGCCTAAGCATCTTCAGTACCACCTTCAGGAAAAACAGTTGTTGTGGTACCCTTCCCCTTGTTGTGGTACCCTTCCCCTTGTTGTGGTACCCTTCCCCTTGTTGTGGTACCCTTCCCTCGTCGCACCTCTACCGGACCTAGGCACTCTAATTTTTTTTAAATAAAAAAGAAAAGGCGACGGCGTTGAAATATCATCATTGAGCTGACTGGCCCCAGGTAGTTCAGCACTATTTCACCACTCTGTTCATCTGTTTGCATCTGGATTCGAGCTCGGATCCGTGTTTCAACGGGTCATGTGCACCAATCTTGCTAGGCCCGTTTGATGCACTGTAGATTTTGGCCTGGTACTTGTAGACAAGAACAAATGAACAGTGCAAGGGCCGATGGAGTGGTGGCGCAACTTCTTCTTCTTCTTCTTCTTCTTCTTCTTCTTACCCCTCTCGACGTCGTCTTGATGTCAATCTGCCGGGTTCTTCGTCTTGCCAACCGCGCCACATCAGACCCGGCTTTCGAGTGGTGACCGACGATAACAGAAAAGAGGGCAATGATACGAACCCTTCTTCCCCTTCCTTCTTCTTCCTCTTCTTCTTCTTCTTCTTCTTTGTTCATTCTCAGACTGGTCGGAATGTTGGGTGGTGCCGTAAGGCGGATCTGGGGAGAAGCCCCCTGAGGAGTGCAGCCTGGCCGAAACTCGTCGGGGAAATTGCGCGTTTTCAACTGAGAACTGTAGTACATGACGGCGGAGAAGTATTGAAATATCTTGTCGATGCGTGTGCAAGAAGAAGCAGTCTATGGCCACTCAGATTTCACTATTTTCACTATTTTTTTTCTAGACGAGAACTGAGACGAGTATGCGCTGCTTTGTAATGAAGAGCTTTCGATGCGTCTACGAAAGGCAGTTGGCCACTGTTTCCACTATTCCGCTATTCTTCTTCTACTTCCTCTTCCTCTTTCCAGTGGTGACCGACGATAACAGAAAACTGGCCAATGATACGGAGTCACAACACTCGAAATCCAAATCGAAATCCAAATAGTACAATCAAAATAAGTAAAAGAAACGGAACCACAACAGAGGGTCCGCGATATACAGATGCCATTCCACTCAACTTTCATGATTAGGACAACTGGCCGCGCGTTCGCCACTAGGAATACACCTGACCAACAAATCGGCACATCGTTTTCCCCCTTCTTTTCACATTTATTATTTATTTAAAAATCCGTGTTATCGCCGAAGTCCAATCTCACATACTACCGTCTTCCCCCGAACATAACGCAGCCTAAAAATGAATGTAGACAAGCTATATTTCCGGCCAGATACGGCCAAAATAAGGGTGCGTCGTGTTCGGGGGAAGACGGTAGCATTCATTCATTTTCTCCCAAAAAAAAAAAAAAAAAAAAGCCCGCCTCCTTGTCTTCAACCCTATCAATGACCCCCCTTTGTCTTCCTTCAACCCTATCACCGATTCATTCATAGTTCGCCAGAACTGAGGTATCTGCATAGAGAGGTAGGTATCCCGACCGTATTTTGGCAACTGCATAGAGATCCCGACCGTTGATGACGAAGAAGATCGGAGGTAGGTATCTGTTAATCCGTCCGTTTGTGACGGTCTCGCCCCGAAGACAACTCACCCTGATCGCGCACGTACACAAGCTATAAGATCGACCAGATACAAACAGGTTGAGGGTCGGTTCTACACGAGGGAAAGCCAGACAGTGGAATCTCAGACCCGGCAAGCAGCGCGCCGAAGACATCACCGCTTTCGATTTTTTTTCCGGTTCATTTTTTTTTTAAAACAAATAAAAGCGTCTTCACGATTGGGACCGGTTGGATGCATCCCCCCCCTCTGGAGGCCGCGCCGCTTCCGATGTACCTGCGGCCAATTGGTTAGAAGATACATTCTCTCTCTCGATGGGGAAAGTTTTTCTTCGGAGAAAATCCCACGCCCTGTCACTAATACAGTAAGACAAAACAGAAAACCCTTTTTTTTTTTTTTTTTTTTTTTTAACCCACAGCGGAGCCTTCGCAAAAAGAGCGGTGACTAGGGCATAATAGCCCGATTATTCTTCTTTTATCTTTTAGGGTATTGCCCTGATCACCAGTCTCTTCTGACGACCTAATTGCAATCCCCAAGATATATACATATCGTCAAACAGAACTTCCCGAGGATAAACCGTAGGCAGAGAGGGAGAAGAAGACAACAAACGATGAGGAGCTGTGACAAACTGTGTCGTCGGCGTTCCACCGACTCATCAGGAGCCTGATCCCTCAAGAGGTTCTGAACAGGGGGAGTTGTAAGGCAGAAGTTTAAAAAGGAATTAAGTTTTTCTTGTTTTCTTTCGTTTTTCGTTTCGGCGCTGTGATATCATGTGACAATCTATTGTCTTGTCACATGATATCAGAGCGCCAAAGCGAAAAACAGAAACAAGAAAAATCTTCTTCCTTGCAGCTCCCCCTGTTCAGAAAGAACCTCTTTTGCGTACAACGCCGCCCACGTGGATGTAGGTTGAGCGGCGGCTGCCCCCACCCCCGTGTATCATATCGACCCACTTGCACACAGCCAAAAGGCAAAGAGGCAGAGAAGAGAGGAAGGGAACAGCCAAATAAAACAGAACAGGGGGCAACAAAACAGATCCCAGATGACAAGTCCCACATGCAAGCACCGAAACAAACCACAGGCCAAACGACGGGACAAGACCAACCAGGATGTCAAAACATTCTTGTCTGCAAAGAAATCAAAAAAAAGTACCAAGAATAACCCATCCCGGATGACGATTCCCATTGTCACAAGAATATCAGAGCGCAAACGCGAAAAAAAGAAAAAAAGAAAGAAAAACAGGAGAAAATGAATTCATTTTTTTATCTTCTTCCTTATAACTCCCCCTGTTCAGAACCTCTTTTGCGTACAAGGCCGCCCACGTGGATGTAGGTTGAGCGGCGGCTGCCACAGAGAGAGAGAGAGAGAGGCTGGACGATTGCTCTACCCAAAATCCGTACTACCCAATCCGTACTTTTTAAGCATTATTCTCGATGACCAATCAGGTAACGAAGCCTCACCATTTCCTTGAGCAGAATGTTCCCATCCTTCGTCAACTTTATATCTCCAGCACCACCCACCAACCTGAACCAGAACCAAAACCGGAACAGAGTGTCAGGACCAGAACCCGGACCAGAACCAGGACCAGAACCAGGACCAGAACCAGGACCAGAACCAAAACCAGAAGAGAGTGTCAGGACCAGAACCCGGACCAATCCGGGACCAGAAGAGAGTCCCAGAACCAGCATCACCAGTACAGATTGCCAACAACAGAAGAGAGTCCAAGGGCCAAAACCAAGACCAGAAGAGAGTGTCAGGACCAGAACCAGGACCAGAACAAGGACCAGAACCAGAGGACCAGAAGAGAGTCCCAGAATCGGCACCACGAGCACTGGGGAGTGCGAGGACCAGAACAAGCACCAGAAGAGAGGTCCATGACCAGAAGAGTCCCAGGACCAGAACCAGGACCAGGGAGAGTGCCAGGGCCATAACCAGTACCAGACCCAGAACCGAAACGAGGATCACTAACGAGTGCAACCTTCTAAGTTGAAAGTCACAGGTTCAAATCCTGAAGAATTCAGCATCCTACACGGAAGTACGACGCATACATCGTTTAAAACAGAGCGGGAGAAGAGAAAACGACGGAACGGAATGCAAAGCAAACCGCGGGAGATTCCCGCCATCAATCGAAGACAGTACAAATAAGCAAAAAGGAGAGGGACAATATTTGATAGCCACCCACACCAACCTCCTCCTCCTCACCGCATGTCAGCTTGGCAATACCACCTCCCCACGCCCTGCTCCTCATCCCCCCAACCTACATGCCGACAATAGACAGGGGCATCCCCCATCACCGTCATCCTCCTCCTCAATCACCGTCATCAACCTCCGCCATCACTGTCATCAACCTCCTCCTCACTGCAGGCCAGCTTCCCAATCCCACCCCCATTCACGCCCTCCTCCTCCTCCTCCCGCCAACCACTAGCCGACCTACGTGCCGACAATAGACGGCAGCACGAAGGCAGGCGGAAAGAAGCCTGGGGAAGGGGGGACCGAGAGGAGGAAAGGCAGGGGGAGGGGGGGGGAAGAAGAGGGAAGGCAAGGAGAGCGTGAACTCCCACGATTCCTCGCCCAGATCGCTGGATGCGACTCAGATATCAACGTTTCCCATCGCGCAGAGCCCATCATCAGCTTCCCCTTCTTCGTCATGCTCGGTGTCATCATCACCACCGGCCATTGCAGAAAACCGCCCTAATCATAGACGTTGATTGCAGCTGCCAGCCGCCATAGCCGCAGCAAAGAGCGAACTGTGAGGCTTAAGGCAGACAGAGGAGGCAGAGGCACGACATCAAGCATAACATCATGAATCACGGAGAGAGAGAGAGAGAGAGAGAGAGAGAGACGGAAATGTACAGAGGCCTGTAGAAAGCCAAGCGAGGGAGAGAAAATAGAGGGCGCCAGACGAAGAGAAAGAGAGAAAGCGAGAGAGAGAGAGACGCAAAGAAACGGAGGAAGCGAGACAGGGGAAAACAGGGGAACACAGTACGGTAGAGGTACAGAGAGGTTCAGAGAGAGGACATAAATGGACAAGAAAAAGACAGAGATCGGAGAGGCAAACAGGAGAAAAAGACAAAGTGACGGAGAGAGGAAGGAGCAGAGAGATAAAGATGATGGCGAAACACAGGAAGTAAGAATATGGAAATGACAGAGATAGAACAGAAACAACCAGAGACCGACAGATCAAGACATGAAGAGCGAAAAAGAGGCGCAGCGAAGGTAGGTAACGTAAATGAGTAGACAGAAGACACAGAGAGAGAGAGAGGGGGAGGGAGGGAGGAAGGGAGGAAGGGAGGAAGGGAGGGAGGGAGGGAGGGAGGGAGGGAGGGAGCGAGGGACGGAGGAGAGAGAACAATGGGTAAGGAAGAGAAATTTGTACAGCTGGCACTCACATTTTGATGGTGCCCCGAGGGCCCAGATTAGTTTTCAACACTTCTTGCAGTCCCCGTGCTGCATTGATGTTGGTGAATAGCGCCGAATTCCTGTTTAGGATCTCTGCATGCGGGTTGATGATGCGGATCGCCATAGCTGAAGCTTCCTACTTTCTTCTTCGGTGATGAAGACGCGGACACGATGATTGATGATTGATTGATTGATTGATTGATGACGAAGCCTCAAGATCAATCAACCACCAGCACGCACCGACGCACTCACTCTCTGCTCCTCTCTGCTGCTCTCCTCTGCTGCTCTCCTCTGCTCCGCGGACTACACCAAACGAAAGACGACGGCTCGATTCCACCCGCTCATGCGGTTGGCGGCAACAAGCAGCACAGCTCTATCGCCCGCCGGCAAAGCCTAGCCTGTCCCTGCTGACTACCCTTCCTCACCTATCGTCGACTACCTACCGGTAGCAACACTCGCTTGGTCGTCAGAGCTATCTCTGGGTACATCTCCCTGGCCGTTCAGCAGGTACTACCGGTACGCTCGATGGCCTTCGATCATTCGGGGCTCGGCGGGGATTCAAGTCAAGTCTCCGGCGGACTGTTTCTCCCGCGCACAGGAGCGCAAGCGAACCCCCTCTGGAGTGGAGTCCCCTGCTGGAGGAGGGGGGCGGGGGGTTTGTTTGTTTTGTTTTTGTTTTTTTCCTGCTGGAGTTTCTCCCGCCTCTGCCCGCCACTTTCCTGCAGGAGAAAACGAAATGAAATTGTGAAAGGGGGAGGCTGCAAGTTGGGCCCTACCGGTAACGTTATTCTATCGGGCTGATTAAGGCGGGTTCGAACTGATGACCTATTGACTATTGAGTGAGTTACTTGTATACGTACGTCGCTGTCTTCCACTGTTCTATTCAACGACTATGTAAAATTACCCCTACCTCTATGCGGAGCTGCCGACCAAAAGATCTAACGGTTTCCACGTGTAGTGCGCTTCGTTCAGGGCAGGACCACCAGCCGATGCGCTAAGCCTAGAATGTTCGCAGACAGGCCGGGGGAGGAGGGGGGAAGGAGGGGGGAAGGAGGGGTGCAGCCAAGCTAAGAACATGGGCCCACAACACCAATACGTTGGACCGGTTTGGCCGTCCAAAGCTAGAGAGAAATCAGTGCAGACTCCAGAGAGAAGAAATGAAATAGAAGGCCTCCTGCCTGTGCACAAGACGCGAAAGGGGATGGGAGTCTGCAGCACCTCTGGTAATTCTGCCCCCTCACAGATCAAATCTGGAAGCCCTGGAAGGAGAACTGGAAGGGGCACCTCCAGCAAGAGATAGAATGGACAGATGACTTCATCTTTTTACACCCCAAGCTCTCAACAACCTGGGCCAGCTTACAGAGCTCTGATCTGCAGGGGAGTAATCATGGAGGGTATCTGACATCCCATAACGCTTAGATATTCCGGGCGAAGAAACACTATCTCCTGCAGACAGTGAGCTCCATCAAGGCAGGCCTCCATAAAAGAAAAGGCCTGATCTGGTTCCAGAGGGCATGGGCAACATCAGGCAAGTGCGTCCCCATCTCTCACGAAGGATTTCTCAGTGCTTTCTGGCCACTCAGCTAAGGCTCACAACTTTTGTTTTTTTACTGTTTGAATCTTTTTTAGTCCAGTTTGTGGTTTGTTTCTAAAATTTACAGACAATGGGACACTGGACCCGGTTTCCAGTTCTCAGGAAATGGGACGCTGGACCCGTTTTCCAGCAATAACCTAAGCTCGGTAATTCCCTCGGTCCCACTCTCCGGGTTGCTATGTTGAGGGATTCCCAGCCTCATTTCAAATTCATAATGCAATCTGCAAGTTTCCCACCCTCCCTCCACCCAAAAAAAAAAAACTACAAGAATGTCACCCTCATTACTTAGAGCTAAATAAAAGATTCACCGTGCCCCCATAAGCATTAAAATGGATTTTGGTTGTGTCCCCCAAAAAATGCCCCTTTTGTTTATGACCTTGGGGTTGTTCAAAGAACATGGTACCTACTACCTAGGTTTCGTGCAGGAATAATTTCAACCATACACAATTATAACCCCGTAATCTCACAGGTCCTTTTTTTTTTTTTTTTTTTTACACAAACCTTCCCTAACCTTTGCTCGATCGGGTTGTTGGGGCAACCAAGGTGTGACATGGGCGCGCCGGTTGGTAGCCTAATATATTACACTCACGTTCCTATTGAAAGTAATTGAAATAATATATTATTGATTACTTATATTGCATGAAAATTGTAGCATTACCAGAATTGTGGCTTAGGGATAACGAGCCCTTTAACTACCGAACCACCAAAGGGGCATAACCTACCTACACCTACCAACCTTTTTAGTCCACAAGGTTGACCGCTTCATCATCGTCGTGTTAGTAACGCATATGGAGCAGGGGTCAAACACCCACATATTAAATGGTTTAAGCATCAGTAAAACAAAGTCGATTTTCCACTTAAATAAAATTTTATAATCGAGTATATATCAAACCTGCCACAGGTACGCTGGATATATCCAAATCGACTCACAAAGCCTTTTCTATACTCATTGTACAATGAACGAAAATAATGATAGTTGATAAGAGTTTATGCTTAGATGCAAATTTCTTCAATAATTTAAAGATGTTTGATGTAACTACATAATAAATTTTACAATTAACACTCACTTGTAATTCATTTGTTGACAAAATAGCTCACAAAAACTAACCTTTACACTACACTAAACCTTTGAGGTAATATATTTCATTATTAAAAAATAAGTAGGTTCAAGTTCAATCAACGGGAGTGGGTAATACACATCCTAATACATTAACAATCTAACAAAATAATTTTTTTTTGCACGATTTGTACAAATCCATAAGGTAAGGTAACCTTCGAAAAAAAACATATTTAGGAACGTAAACGTAAATAGATGATAGTTTTTTCTCGAGTCGCTCGATAATGGAGGACGGACCGTCAATGATTATGCAACTCATATCAAACAATCTTCACTTAACTAATTACCCAAAGAGAAAGAAAAAAATGTTTTGCCCTTTATTCATACTCAAAATGAGAAAGCGGTTTATAAAAATCACTTCATTATGAACAAAGTGATTATTGATATGATCTCACACAATATCCGGATAATCGACAATGACATCGATCATACTTATTATTAGTTTCTTAAGTCACCACTGCCCCGAATCGGTATTTTTTCATGAGCATGAGATGTCTCAATTTTGCCAAATTCATTTATACATAAGTTGTTTTTCTTCTGTTAACCTAAAAACTGTTTTATCATCTAACTACTAAATACCTAAAGTCTAAAGATAAGGTGCAAGATTATTCAACCATCGATGTTACTAGACCAAGATGATGTGGATTTACTAACAATAGGGATAAACTCAAACATTAACATATATATTTTATTTTATTTTCTTATAGGCTACCAATCGAGCTTTCCGGGTCTCGGATGGCCAGGCGGTGCAAGGACCAAGATAGGCCCTAGCAAAAAAATAATAATAATAAAAAAAATAAAAAAAA